TGCTTCCACAGCAGCTCAGAGCTGCTCCATGCTGCAGGAAATCTGCTTTAATCCCCTCTCCAGGTGCTCCTGTGTGTTTGCAGAGAGACCCAGTCACGCTCAGAGGGAAGAGGAGGGGTCAGCTGCACAGCAAGGAAAGGTCAGGCTGCCTCACCACCATTCCTGCATCTCTCTGGGAAATTTGGGCTCTTTATGTCTTCACTGGTTAATAACCCCTCTTCCACTTCAAGGACTTTGTTACATGAAATGTTCACCTTGCCCTTCCAGCTCCAGCTGCTGGGAACTCCTCTCCAGTTTCAGAAGAAATGGCGTTGCCCACTGAAAGCTTTTGCTCGCCAGTGCTGACAGAACACAGCATTCCCAGGCTGCAGGGCTCCACAGGGATCCCCTCTGGAATTGCTCAGGTCAGGAATAGGAGCCAGGACAGAGTGGGGAGATCCCTGCTATTTCCTGAACACAGCACAGGAGCTGCTGGCACAGGGCCCCTCCCAGGGGCTCTGCAAGAAGGGATCAGCCAAGCCATGAGGGCACACACACATTTGTGCCTCCAAAAAAACAAGTTTGACTTGTTTTTCAACTCACTTGAAAAGGCAAATATGGTTTGAAATTTCTAATTTTTGTAAGGAATTATTTAACCCAAAGGCTAAAGCTGTTTTATATTTAAGACCGAATTTAGCTTGAAGCATAAAGAAAACTCTAGCATAAATTAGCACATATTGAAAACTTGATGCTAGAGAAATAAAAAGTTGGTTTAAATCCAAGTGGTAAACCAAAAAACCAATTTTGTGAATTTGCTGGATACTGTCAGTGATTAAATAAGTAATTGTAATCAGATTATAGGCTCTCTGAGACAAAATAAAATAAATGAGTATTGAAAAACCTTTGAACTTTGTAAGCATCAAACCCCATGAGATATTTCTATTTATGCTGGAATCAAGTTGTTGCATTTCTCTGACACAATTTGAGAGCTCACTGATATCAGTATAAATCTGATAATTCAACTCCCAACTGCACCTCTAACACTAATATAACACATATTAAATTCAAGCCGCTCAACACATCTGCCCTCCTATGGAACCAAGCTGCATTGCAGGTCACAAAATAGTCTGAAGAACAAATGTTAATTCTCGTCTCAATGATAGCACATTTATTTCAGAATGAAAATTTACATCCCAAATGCACTGAAAATCTTCATAGCAGTGATGTAAAGCTGGAAGTGTGGAGATTAAAACCAGGAACAAAGATAGGATTAGGCATTTTTGATGGAAAATATTGCGCTTCTGCATCAACAGCCTTCCCCTCCAGTCCTCTTTTTTTCTTAAGTCTTTAAACCTGGTGCTTAACTCGGTCTATGAAATATTCCACAATATGTTGGTCAGGCTGGGCTTTAATTTCAACTCAACTGAAGAAGCATTGTTAAAAGAATCACTATATCCCAGGGGAATCAGGAAATTACACTTTATTTATTGGGTTTGCCTTTCCCACAAGTAGACAGAGCCATATAGCATCTGATTTCCCTGTGAGGGGAGACACAGCTTGAAAGAGCCCTGCCAATGAGCCACTGGGCCATTGACTAATTAAGCAATCAGATGAGGAGGGTCACTTAGGGTCATTAATGCATGACTGCAATGCCATTTGAGTGTCTGGTTAATACCATAGGGCCTGAGCCCACAACAGTTTACATCTGGGCACAGGACTTGACACTTGTGCTGCTCTGTTTGCATATTAACATTGCCATTTGTAGGTGCTGGAATGTACTGGGCAGTCCAAACACAACCTTCCTTTTTGGGGGTGTGGGGTGAGAGAGGGACAGGAGACCTTCATTTTAAATCTGTTTTCATAGTATTGTTTCAGTTACAAAATCTGTCATTCCGTAGAATATTGAAAAGGATCACAAAAATACATACTTGTTGCTATTAGAGTAGTGCTCTGTGAGCACTATTTCTACATATCCCACAGCAAGGAATTAAAAGAAAAGAAACTAAAATTCCTAAGACTCTTCTGATTTTCTGAACTGGAAAACCACCACCCTCTACCTGGTCTGGCAGAGCTGCTGCATTTTGTGTGCGACAGTTAAACACTGGCCTGGTGAGAAAGCACAGGGTTTTCCCTGGTTCAGGGGGCTGGGCACTCACCTGTGAGCAGGCGTTCCTGAATTCCCAAGCTCCAGTCCTTGCAGTCCCAGAGGTCTCTTCCAAGCACTTCTTTGCTTCTGATTGAATTAAACTTACCCGTTTCAAACGACATTTTTTTTCTGTACACCACATTTCAAAAACGACAATTTGAAATATTTTGTTTTCAGGTGAATATACTGAAGAATAACAAGCTTGACCAGACAAGAGGAAACGTGATCTTCATAAAAGCAGCAGTCCGAATCATAAATTGGGTGTTTTACTGGTTCACTCACACCCACTATGGCTAAACACCCAATTTAAAGTCAGTTATGATTGCTTCCCTGTTGAATGGACTTCCCTTTAATTAGATATTCCACAGACAGTGTTTTAACAGCTAGTTATTTTATTACTTTGTTGGGGAAGCAGGAATAAACCAAGAAATTTGGGATGAGGCAGCTCTGTATAGTTCTTTCCCACTGCAGAATGGAATGGGTCTCTGCCCTTGCCATCTACTGCTCTTTAGATAAGGTGGCAGCAGCAGGAGAGTCTTAAAGAAAATTAATAACAATAGTAATAGTAATAGCAATAGCAATAGTAATAGTAATAGTAATAGTAATAGTAGTAATAATAATAATAATAATAATAATAATAATAATAATAATAATAATAATAATAATAATGTTTGTGTACTGTGGCTTGAAGACAAAGATGCCTAAGAAGTTTCTACTTAATTTCAGAAATTTTATTTCTTGCCAACCAGCACGGCCAGTGTATCAGCATAAACACTTCCATTAGACACAGGCCTGCACTCTTGGTTCCACATCAGCACCACCACAGTAATACCAATACTTTGTCAGTTAGGGAAATGTTAAACCAGTAAAAGAGCATTTAAAGAAGCTTAATATTGTCCACACATGAACTATATCACTGTAGATAAATGAGCATCAGCTTTGGGTTTAGGCAGAGCTGGGACAGAATTGTCACTGTCTAACTGTGCAGCACAGGGAAGGAAATGGACTCACCTCCAGTGCCACATCAAGTTTCTTCACTCTAACCTTGAGAGCACAAGCTAAGGAACAACATTTCAGCTACGTGGAGTGATTAGATTATGAACACAGTGATTAGATTAACAGCAGATGACGTGGAAGTCAAACTGCTGCATCCCCACTGAATTACCAGCTCCAGCAGCAGCAGAACTCCCCCTTCCAATGCTCCCCACAGTTCCAGCTTTAAGGACTTCTTTAAATCTTTAGAACCAAGTAAACAAAAGACAAAATTTCCATTTTGCCTCCTATTGTACAAACCCAGTGTGCTCTCACAGAACACCGGGGTCTCATTTCACTGTTCACAACACCTCACAAATGACACAGCTATAAAAGGGGACACCAGCTCACCAGGGCCATCACAGGCTGAGCAACAGCAGCTTTGAGGGAGACCCCAGCCTCACATCTCGTTATCAGCAATCAGGACAGAAAGAAGGAAAAGAAAACCAAGCACAGTTTAAAGAAGTGAACATAACACCGCAGATACAATCACAAGACTGTCACCCAGCACAGCTCCAGCTGAGAACCAAGGGGCTTCAGCCGGGCGTGGAAACTTCAGTGGCAAAGGTGTTACTCCTCAGCTCAGCTCTGTTAACCACAGAATCACAGCATGTCCTGAGCTGGAAGGTCCCACAGGGATCATCAGTCCAGCTCCTGGCCCCGCACAGACACCCCAACAATCCCACCCTGTGCCTTGTCCAAACCCTCCTGGAGCTGTGGCAGCCCTGGGGCTGTGCTCATTCCCTGGGGAGCCTGTTCAGCCCTCTGGTTTAACTTTTTAAAATTGATTTTGTTTGAGTTCTGTGAATTTAAGTAACACACTGAAAACACTTTTAAATTAACACAAAAAAGATTTCCTAAAAATGCTGCGTAGGCAGTCCCTACATTGATGCAGGCTCAGGAGAAAAAACAGAGGCACCAATACTCCTTGGAAAGGATTAGAGGATGAAGGCTGTTGTTTCTGTAAAGAGGGTGTTTGGGTTTGATTTTTTAAAATAAAACACTGCACAAAGTATGTCCATCCTTATCAGCAGCACTTAGAACAGTATTTGGCTGATTTAACACATAATCTGATCATTCTGCTGACCCTACCTACACCCATCTGATCCCAGTGAACTCCCAGCCAAGGGCACTTTCCTGCACTGACCAGAAAATTTCAGGGGAGTTATCAGCCTTATTTCAATTTCTTCCATTCCCAAAGAAACAAACAAAAGAAAATGCATGTTCAAAAATGTTTTAACTCAACAGGACCTTCCTCACAGAGACATTATCATCACAAGAGTAAACAAACTGATGGTTTCTATTCAAAGTACACAAATTTATCTGAGGAATTCATTATTCATTTCCAAATTCAGTGTATTGTGTCTCCTGTTATTTATCCAAGAAACACTGGCAGAGCATGAGATGTGTGGGAATCACCTGTTTTATTTAACCCATTACAGTGTATTTCAGTTTATAAGGGTTTCATGACCTCTTCAATTTCTCCTCTGCAATCTTCATTACAATATAGTTGAAAATATGTATTAATCCACAGGTTCTTTTTTTCCTTTTTTAAGCCACATTTTAACCAAAAATATGAAGAAAAAAAAGAAAAAGAGGGTGAGAAAAGAAATCTGGAGTGTTTCTATTGGTGTCTTAAGGCATAACAAACTGCAGCAATTTATTTCACCACATCCAGTTGTAATGCTAAACCACAGATAAACATTACTAATGGAGCAAGAATGTGTTCCTTCCTTCTGATGGAGGTCCAAGATTGCCCTTCGGAGTCTGCCAAACAGCATGGGGCACTTCATTCACCATGTGATTGGCACACACTTCAGTTCTGAATCAGAACTTTCTGGGGATGAAACTGTTGGCTAAAGCTGTGGAAATTCTGACTCTGGAGCTGTCAGGCAGGCTGTCTTTACTCTGAGAAAATGCAATTTTTTTTAATAGCACTATGTCACTTGGCTTTTTATTTGGTTTTACATTGTTCATTGATGTTTTGGATTTTGATGTATTGTGTGGCACCCCAAGAACTCTAACAGGGGGGACTCCATTAAAAAAAAAAAAGAGTTTATTATTCCAACATGTGCTAATAAATATGCTACACGTTTGGGGAATCTAATCCCATCTATTTTGATGGCACACAAAAAGGCCTTCAGCCACTGCTTGCTGATACCAAAAAATGCATCTGTTCACTGAAAGGCAGAAATGTCATTTTTTAACTGAGCTCATGTTCAAGGCAGCTCTTACAATGCAGGGTCAAGGGTTTATTTTTCCATTTATCTTGTAAAAAAAGGAAATTATCTAATAAACTTATGATTGATTTATTTTTTTTGGTCAACATTATTTTGCATAGCAACAAGCTTATTTGTAGGATATTTTAAGACACATAGCTTAGCTTATTATTTTATTGATATTAATGGAAATGATCCAGAAGAGGAACACATCATCTGGAGATCTGACTCTAGGTGTGACTCAACTGCCTGCCACATCCTAACATCAGTGAATATTCTGGGAGCAGAGTGCTTGGAGGATTGGGTTTGAATTATCTTCCTTGAGACATGTAACTATAAAATCATGAGTTCTTTTTAAGATCCAGTCCACCCCAAAGTCAAACCTCCATGCAGCCTTTCACTTCAGCTCGAGTTTTTTTCCCCCTTACAGCCATGAACCAAATTTTTGAGTGCACAAATGTTGTTCACAACACTTTTCTTTTTTCACTTCTACAACTGCTGTGCTATAACCAAATAGGACACTTATTTTGCACAGCAATCTAATGCACATCTTTTTTATCTACTTTCTCTAATGGCTGGCCACCTGCTTTCTCAGCCATGAAACCTTTCAGAAATGTTTCTCTCTTGCCTGAACACAGAGGGGTTTGGCTCCCTGCTGTGGTAATCCCTCAAGGATCCAGGTCTGTTATGCTCCTGTGTCAATACAGGTGCTGTCAGCTGCCTGAGGTTCAGAAGCTGAAAGAGCTTTTCTATCAAGATGAGGGTCAACCAGTATCAGGTAACACAAGCACAATCCCTATCTGTGTTCTCCTAGCAGACGCATGTCTAAAAATATGCACAATCTTGTTTTTCCTTATAATGCTCCTCTTCTTTAAAGGCTTTCTAGAAATGTATGTTTTCAGAGCAATGTAAGGCAATGAACTCTCAACCACGTGCACTTCACATGAGTGTTTATTCCTTCACCGTTGTTTTGGGTAGTGAAAGTTCACATTTGCTCGGTGGATGTTCCCGAGGTGCTCTTGATTAAGATGTCTTTTATGGCTTCAGGGCTTTCTCTCAGGAGCAGCTGTGCTGGAGCTCTGTTTGTGCTCGCTGTGGCTCTGGGTGTGGTGTTTGGGGTAGCGCCTGTGGTTCTGCTCCTCCTTCCCAGGGCTCTGATCTGACACAAACGTGCTCTGGTACACGGTGACGAAGCCTTCGCTGCTGCTCCGGCCTGGCGCACGAGCCCACTCGAAGAAGTTGTGGGAGTTCTGTCTCTGCTTCTCTGGATCCAACTTCCTCACACCCATGCCCTACGGGGAAAAAAAAAGGAAAGAAAAATTCATGCAACCATATGACTTCCAGTCACAGCTTCACAGATGAATCTTGTAACAGTCACTACCCCACTGGGAAGTGAACGAAGCTGTTACCACAGTGATTGCAAGAACTCACGGTTGACCTTTAGCAAGTTAAAAATAATATTGTCAGACTCGCCTGTATGAACATTTTTGGTTGCATATATAATAGGAAGTCTGCTGACCTTCCACCTCTCAGTGCTAATAAACCACTTTTACTTTGCATTTCTGTAGCACACCAGCTACTCAAGGCTATTTAGCTACACTCGGCTAAATGAATCTTCAGAGGCACCCAAAGAAATAGGTTAATAATTCTAGGTTTGGACTGCAATAAAGAAACTGAGACAGACCATGAAATCTGAATCTTCAGTGCTATCCCTTGTGTGTCCAAACACAGAGAGACAGAGCCTGATTTTCACACTCCACAGCTCACAGGAAATTTAGATGGAATTATGGTTGATCAGTATCTCTAAAACAATGAGACACTGCCCAAAGTGCAGAGAAATTGAGGTTACTCAGTGAACAATGAATTCCAAAAAGTCTGGGCCTGACAGAGCCCAGAATCAGACAAACTCCCTATATCACAATTCACTGCTTCCTCCTTTACTCATCATCCTGTGAACTGCACAATTTCTTTTGCTGCCTGGAATAATACCAACAATCTAAGGGGAATGGAAGAACATGAAACTGTTGCCCACAGAGAAAAGAAATTTTAATTCTAGTCAAAAGTTGTGGCTTCTGCAGCATACATTTAAACAGGTGTATTGTAAAGGATTCAAAGAATGCATTCCTGAGATCTGTGGGTATCCTATGGATTCTTAAATTTATGATAAAGATGAGTCTGAACAAAATATTTGGCACTGCAAATTAGAAGTTGCTGAGATATCTACAAAAATTCATTGCAAGGCAAATCACTTAGAGCAGACCAATAGGACTTTTAACTGGGTACAAAACCAAAAGAGGAATATTAGAAAATATTAGAAAATGTCATAGACCCAAATCATGGCTTTTTCCTTCCCTTTTAGTTGTGCCATTCTCAATGACTGCATGTGCTGTTGCACCTTTGTGACAGTCCCAGAGATATCCCAGCCCTCTACTAATAAAAAGGTGTCTTTTTCTTTGCTATTTACATTTTTCTCTCCTCACAGTTTTGGCATTTATTTTCTTTTTTTTTTTTTTTTTTTTTAGGGGACAAAAAAGATGCTGTGTTTAATCTCTGGCAGACCAATAGCTCTGAAGTTGCTTGATTTGTCTCAGTGCTGGGTACTTACCAGGTCAAAATACTCGACTGCATTGCATATGTCATGTCTGTTGTCATGAGAAGAGAATGGGAAGTTGTTGTTTCCTGCTTTCTGCACGAAAAGAAATTATAGCAAAAAAAAAGAAGAAATAAATTTAAACTCTGTTTGGAGTCTATTAGTCCTTGTTCTTGTATTGTGAGATTACAGCTGCCTTTGTTCTAGCACAAAAGTCATACTCCTATGTTAAATATTCACCTGCACATGACTTTATAGGGTTAATGTGGACTTCTAATTTGTTAAATAAAATGACCAAGAGGATTTGCTGAATATATACATGATTAATATAAAAGTGCGAATTTTCAAATAAGAAATGATACATTCTGTCTGCAAAGCAGCAAAATGCTACATATATGTCAGGATTGCCTTGCTTGATTTAGTAGTAGGCCTAGAGCTAATTAAAATAAACTACAAAAGGGACCTCAAAACTGCATTAGTCTGTGATTTATGAACTGAATGTCATGGACACTGCTTGTTGCAGGGGAAGTTGAAGAGGTATTAATTGCTTAACTGATTTATAATCTCATTCTTTAACATGATGCTCATCCAGTCTCTAAATGAAACCAGAGTTTCAGAAGGAAAAAAGACAACTGCAAAAAAGTGCTATTTTAGAAATACTGAACATATCTGACTTATTAAATGTTATCAGAGCAATATCCCATCTGTGATATTCCACTCCAAACAGAAAATGAAGTTTTAATGCAACACAGTCTAAAAGAAGTGTTTCAAGAATAGGGGAACCTGAATGAGTTCTAAAGATCAATGTGACTGGAGGCCTGATCAGCAGGAAGATTCACCAGACACAAAATGTGCCTGCATGGTCAGATCTCGGGATAATTGGTTTACTAGGCAGATTCTCTTTTTTTAGTTATATTTACCAGTTCACTTGTCTCATACTGATTCACCCAGACTGTAGTTCAGTGGATAAGTAAATCCAACAAATGCATTCTCATACATGTGTTTAAAGATAAGCACCTCCTGAATCTGTAAATTTCTTACTAAAATATGCTACTGCAACCAAATGTCAATCTCAGCATTTCAGGAATAGTGTTTATTACCAGTGCCTAAACAAACTTCCCCAGATTGTCCCATTTTAGCCTTTAGTGCATCTTTGTGTTCTCCCCACTGATCTCAGATCAATTCTCAATTTACAGGCAAGAATTTCCCTAATTCTATATAAAAGTGGAAGGCTGGTAAAGACAAGACATTGAACTTCAGGTGAAGTCACCCTGGTGTGTTGATAAAACCTACCCTTTTCAGGCAGTGGCTAAGGCCAGATGTTCCACAGAAAGGCAGAGGTAATATTAACACAGTGCATACTCACGTTACAGTATAATCTCCTTTTCATGGTCCCAAGCTTCCCTTTTAAATATTCCTTCCAAGCCCTTCATTTCTGCCCTTCACTATAGCAGAACCAGTGAGATGAACCCACTGTAACTGCTGTGCTTATAGAAAATGAAAATAGAAAATGTTCTGTGCCCAAAGCAGGTGGGCAAAGCAAAGCTCAGTGTGATGATAAAATAAGGACATGAAAAGGTGCTTACAACACTGCAACATTTTAAATACTTGTGATTTTTAAAAATACCGTATTTCCTTTCATCACAAAATTTTTCACAAATCCCATTTTTAATCAAGCCTTAAAAATGTTTGAAATGAGGAGCTTCTAACTTTTTAATGATCAAAAAGAACACTCCTTTGTGTGAATACACTGAATTTCCAACATTCATTGCCAAACAGCTGATCAAATTTCCATTAAACCTTCTTACAGGGCTTTACACACGCGCTGTGGGCTGAGATTGATCATAATGTATTCGCCGTCTCAATAATAAAAGAGAAAATCGGCAGTAATACAGCAGGACTCGAAGCAACTAAAATTATGAGTGAGTAACAGGGAAATATGTTTCTTCCGCAGCACAGGCAGCAATCACTGCATCCCCTGAGGCACAAAGTCTGCCAGCCCGCTGCGACTGCTCCGCTACCGACCCCGAGCGCTGCTCCTACTCACAACTGAGAGAGTGACAACTTGCAAAAGAGCTCCGAAAATCGGCTGTGCTGCCGCGGGCACTGACCTGCACCCGAGCTTTGTACTGCAGCGGCATTCTGTGCTCCTGGCCCACAGCGGCTACAGAGTTCAGCACATGCTTTAGTGAAGCGCTTGTTACTGATTCCAGCTCGCCCAGCTGCATCCCATCATCGTGAGTGAACTAGGAAATAATGGAGATTATGACCCTTTAAAAGAAAAGCCAACTGGAAAAAAAAAAAAGAAACAAAAACAACCAACCAACCAACCAAACAAAAAACCCCACAAAACCCAAATAACAAATAAATCCGGTCAGAAATGTGGGCAAAATGGTATTTTCCCCGTTTATTTTTTATTACTTGGATTGCAGCAGCACCTAGTGGCTGCAGTGAGGAGCCTCCCACACACACAACACAAACCCCAACCATAAAGACGTTCAAACGTAGATAAAACAACCAGACAAGAATTTTAGGAATCTTCAAGACAAGAACGCCCAGGAACTTTCTGAAAACTGTTTACAAAGCAATAACCACCAGGGAAAACAACGACCTTCTAACCCCCCCTCCATGCTACTCCTACTGCAGTACAAGTTTGAAAACACAAAACTTTTGGGAACAGCTCAACCCCACATCGGGCCAAAGGGTTCAGAGAGCGAGGAGCAGCCTGTGCCAGGAGTGTCACAGTGCCCTGGGATGCCAAGATGTCCCAGCCCAGCGTTTCTGATGGGATCACAGTGTTCTCCTGGAGGCGAGAACTGAGGCAGACCTTGGCTGGAGCTCTCCAGAAGGGAAGGGAAATCAACCAAGGGTAACTATCAAATAAGAGACGTCCAGCATTGCTGGAAACTGGGGCGGGGGGGAAATCCAGCCAGGGTTAGTTACCAAGGCAGAACTTTTGCCCAGTGAATACGTAGGGCACTCTTTCCTCACTCCTCAGGAATGGGAGGACTCATTTCTGACTGAAGGACACAGCCACCCTTAGCACGGTGCTTTTTTTGAGAGTTTGAGCCTCAAGAAGCCCTGAGGGGGGCACGGGGGCTTCTTGAGGCTCAAACTGGGCCCTTACCCAGTCGCTACTGTGCCCCCCGCTGTGCTCAGACCCGTCCTTAGCCATGGCTCGATGTCACTGCCACCCCGGTCACTCTGCCAGCGCCACCGCGGCTCCCTGGAGACCCGCGCCGGGAGCGGCCGGGCTGTGGAACCTCCGTCCCTGTGACCTCAGAGTGCCCCGGTGTCTCAGCGAGACCAGAAAACAGCCCCGCTCCTGCTCCTGTGCTGCAGGGCAGCGGGAAAGAACAGCTCGTCTTAGGATTCAGTGTTAAAAACAAATCAGTTCTGTACAATCACTTCAGTGACTCTTCACAGCCTGAATAGGAACGGGTGGGGAAAGGAGAGCTGGTTTTGAGGAAAAACTCAAAGGACGTTTGAGATAGAATTTTTAAGATGTAACTTCCTGCTCTTTTGAAAACGCGTTTCCACACACACACATCTTAATTGAACACACGCCCAGTATTTACAGAAAACCTGGCTGCGTCTTCAGGATTATTTTTTTTTTTTTTAATTCAAGGGCTGGCTTGGAAACATGCCAACTATTTAACTGCAGCACACTTGGCCAATATAGCACAAACCAAGCCTTTGCCTTGACAGACTGTAAGGAAAATGACACTTGTGTTCTTTTTGTCTTCAAACTAACAGAGACTAGGTTTAGATTGGATATTGGATATTAGGAATAAAACGTTCCCTGTGGGGGTGGGAGGCCCTGGCACAGGGTGCCCAGAGCAGCTGGGGCTGCCCCTGGATCCCTGGAGATATCCCAGGCCAGGCTGGACATTGGGGCTGGGAGCAGCTGGGACAGGGGAAGGTGTCCCTGCCGTGGCAGGGGTGGCACTCGATGATCTTTAAATTCCCTTCCAGCCCAAACCATTCTGTGATTCCATGATCTATATCTATCTCTCTGTGTGTACATATCTATTAAAAGATACATGTGGCTATAGATATAGATGTCATCTAAGAGGCATTCAGCACATTTGTACTCCCTGACCAGTCATCAAGTGTACTGCCTCTTGTGCTTTAGAGAATGAGGAATACCATCTACATGGAAAATAATAAACATTAAAAATCCCATGGGCACTATTTAGGAATTACTTGCTTACAGAAGCTATTAGTGCTTAGCTTTTGTTGAACTCAGTGTACAGAGGGCAGGACACTGCAGTTTTCAATCCTCTGCCATGCTGAGGTACCCTATTACCAAGTTTTCGCTTGTTTCATTAAATTATGAAAGTCAAAAAAACCTGGAGAAAAGGAGGCTCGGGGGGACCTTCTGGCTCAGCTGTGAATTACCAAGTTTTCGCTTGTTTCATTAAGTTATCCAGGAAAGTCAAAAAACCCTGGAGAAAAGGAGGCTCGGGAGGACCTTCTGGCTCAGCTGTGAATGGCCTCAAACTGTGCCAGGGCAGATCCAGATTGGAGATTTGGGAAAATGTATTCATGGAAAGGGTGGCCAAGAATCGGAAGGGGCTGCCAAGGGAGGTAGTGGAGTCCCATCCCTGGAGGTGCTTAAAGAACGACTGGACGTGACGCTCCGTGCTTTGGTGTAACTGAACAAAGTAGGGATCGCTCACAAATTAGCCATGTATTTTTCCGACCTCAAGGACTCCCTGAGCCCGCTGGCAGCGCCACACCCGCCCCTCACGGCGCGGCCGCCGCCGCCTCCCGCCCCTCACGGCGCCGCCCTCAGCGCCCGCCCTTCCCGCGCCTTCTCGAAAAGTCTCGCGAGAGGCGCCGGATCCCGGCCGGACGCCCCCGGGAAGCGGCTCCGCTCCCGCCGCCCCTTCCCGGTTCCATTCCCGGTTCCATTCCCGGAGCATGGAGGAGCCCTGCGGCGCGGGCGCCGCTGCCCCGCTGAGGGGAGACGCCGAGGAGCCCAAGCAGGTGAGCGGCGCGGAGGGGCGGCCGCGCTCGGTGAGGTGGAGGGGCTGAGGGGGGTCGAGCGGTGCCTACAGAACATCTCCCCGTGGTGTTTTAATTGGAGCGGTGTTTTTGATCCTCTTTCCAGTCTGTCAGGGCCGGAGTGCTGTAGGGAACACGGTAATTATGATTAAGGCGTTAATTGCGAGCCGTGTTGCTGTTGTTATGCCTAAGTGCATTGTATTTACGTAAGTGGTGTCCTGTGGAGCTGTTTTTCCCTCGGCATGTGTTAGTTCAAAGCTCCTCTCGCACGGGTGACAGCTGCGTGTTTGAAAATAAACAGGCAAACACTAAGCTTCTTTAATTTATCATTATTTAATAATAATAAGGTAGAAGCCTGTTTAGCTTTAATGTTGGTGTTAGGGAGCACTTGGTGTTAATAGACACCTACTTTCACAAACTTCAGTGGGAGTCGTTTTAGCCTTTCTGACTGATTTTTGTGACCTTAGTGGCACTTCATTCTCGTACCTCAGTGTGCCCAGGTGGGCAGGAAGGCCACTGTCACCTGCTTGGATCAGCCACGGTGGCCACAGGACCGGGGCAGGGTTTGTCCCTGCTGAGGTCCAGCCTCACTTTCTGGGGCTGTTTTGTCAGGAAAGACACTGAGGGGCTGGAGCGTGTGCAGGGCAGGGAACGGAGCTGGGGAAGGCTCTGGAGCCCCAGGAGGGGCTGAGGGAGCTGGGAAGGGGCTCTCAGGTTGGGCACCAGGAAGAATTCCTTGAGGGAAGGGGTTGTCAAGTGTTGGAACAGGCCCCCCCATCCCTGGAGGTGTCCAAGGAAAGACTGGATGTGTTCCTCAGATCTCTGGTCTGGGTGACAGTGTGGTGATCCATCACAGATAGGATTTGATAATCCTGGAGGTCTTTTCCAACCTCAATGTTTCTGTGATAATTCCTAAAGTGAAGCTTATGCTTGACATTAATTGGAATTGGGATAACTGGAAAACTGTGTGTGCTGAGGAAAGGTAAGTGAATATAGAACTGGATTTTGCTCACTTAGCCTTAAAAATAACTTATCACATAACAAGCCTGGTAGTTTTAATTGCCAGCACTTAAGCAGAAGGCTGATTTCTCTCTGGAAACCAGGGCTCGGTGCTGTTCCTCGGAGGCAGCGAGGTGAAGAGCTGTGCTGTGGTGAAATACTCCTCAGCCCCTCCTCAGGCAGCCTTTGCCCGTCTGCAGGAGAAAACAGACCTGAAGCTGCCTCCTGCCAACTGGCTACGGGAGAGTGCCAAGCTGGGACCAGCAGGGACAACCATTCTGGGCAACAGCAAGAAAAGTAAACCCTTCTCAAGGTAAATGACAGCAGCCCCTATTTTTTTCCAGGCCTTTAAAAGCAATTCTGATTGTGAACTTGGATCCTATGTAATTTAAAGTAAAAAGTACAGGTTTTACCATAGCAACTACATATGGCTTTATTTTAAGCATTCTCCCTCTGCTTTTTCATTTTGAGTTGTTGCCTCTATGGTCTTGTCTCATTAGTAAATGTTTGATGATGGTGATTATTTCTATAACATACAGAGATGGTTTTGTTTATTTGTTCACGTGCCTGTTGACACCTTGCCTCAGAGAGTCAAACTGACTTCTTGTTCTTGCCTGGTTGGCCCAAATCAAACTGGACTGGTTCAGCCAGCCCTTCTGCCTTTGATAACAGGTGAAATGGAACATGTGGTTGCTTCCCCTTGGAAACCAATTTACAGCTCTCTGGATCTTTAGAAACTGGACCTGACTAATGGCAAATGAAATTTCGTATTTAATCAGGATTTCATATTTCTGTCACACTATAGGTGAAATGAGGGGCACACCCAGAAGCAGTGTTACCTTTGTGTGGGTGTTTGCTGAATTGTTGAATGAGTTCAGAGTGTTCATAAACAGCAGGCTCAAGTCCTGTGCTGAGCAAGCAAATTCACACCAAGTCAGCCAGTCAGTAAAATTGAACAGTTTGTTCAAGGTCTGTTTACATCCTCATCATCTCTTTTAGGAGCTGTACTTTTCAGAGCAGACTAACATGTTCTTCAGGGCTTTATCAATTTTTCATGTTTATTTTAGATACTATGATTGTGTCTGGCAGTTCAATCTCTTTCTCTAGTGTCAGTATTAAAAAGCTGATAACAAAAGTATAGCTTGCACATCATGTATGTTTTGGATTTTAGTAGTATCTGGATTTGTGTTAAAGAATGATCTGTACATTGAAATATTCCAGCTTAAGTACCTTGTAATTTCCTTAACAAGGGTGGAGGAAAGAGACAATGTGTCTGTTACAACATGTAGGGCAGTTCTGGAAAATGTGAATAAGAGGTAAAATTCAATTAGAACTACTAAAATTAAAGTCTTTAATATACTTAATGCCTTAAAGAGAAACTCCTTGAAGAACTCTTCTTATTTTCAGTGTTAAAAGAATCCTTCATGTTCTCTGATTTTTCTTGATTTCCACAAAACTTGAAGTGTTCTAAATGTCCTGAAATTAGATCTAAGCACTTTCAAAGACATATTTGAAAAACTTGCAGAATATGAAGATGAAATCTTCACTTTGTTAATTTTAGGTCTTATTACACTAGGGGATGTTTAGCTGGGTATTTTTTTTTTTTTACGAAGCCATTCAAAGATATAATGACTATAAAAGCCAGGTCTGTAATGTCACACTGGAACTGTCTTGTAATGTTTTTTTTAATAGCTTTGGGATGGCCTATGACTTCATTGACTCCGTTGGAAATGATGTGGATGTTGTATCTGATTCAGAGGTATGGACACATCTTAAATTCTCTCATTCAAATTCTTATATTGCATAAACCTTTAAGATGCTGTCATGGTATCTGGAAAGATCCCTTAGTGAATCACAGATCACCAAGTAAGGGAGTTGTGAATACTGAATAAGAAATGTGGAGAGAAAAATCATATTTCCTCTGGAATTCTACAAATAATTTACAGCTGAGGTGTGCAGTTTAATGAATGCAGCACATCAGTCTTGCAAGGTAGTTGTTTTGTGTGTTTGAAGTCAGTTATTTTGATGCAAACTGTTGCTCTCGAGATGGTTTACTTCTATTCTTATCTGGAAGAGAGAGCTGCCCTTCAACTTTTTCTTTCCTTTGTTTTTTGTCAGCTCTTTCGGTGCTGGTACTATCTGTAGAATTCAGATGAAGCTACTCAGAAGAGGAAGCATGCTCATGCTAATATTTGTCAGATTTGTATTCAGATTTAGATCTCTGTCTGGATTGCTTTGGACACCTGGCAA